GCAAAAAAGTAGCCCTGCGCATGGTGACGGTGACAGGGACGGGTTTGAGATTTTCTCGTGAGGATGGGTTTGGACAGGCAAAACCCGATGGTTTTCATCCCCGTTGCCATCCTTGACTCGTGGCTTGCATCGGGGAACCTGGAGATCCACCCGCAGTGGGGGGGGGGAGGGGGAGGGGAGCTCCACCACATGTATAGCCAACCGTAGTGCATCCTAAGTTGTGACCCATGGCTTGGAGACGTAGTAGCTCCACCATGTGTGGCTTGAAGGATGTGTTGGAGGAGGGGAGGTAGAGATGAGGCTCGGGGCTAGGCGGTTCGGTCAAGAGGAGGGGGAGAAGAACAAGGTCAGGGCTTTCTGGATCGCTAGGAGGGGGCAGAGAGATTTTTCAGGGGAAATTGGTGCGGGACTGTTGAAATGGGGATGACATAGATTGAGAGAAAGAAGAAGATGAATATGACACATGGACCCGTGTAGTCAGTGACATTAGCATGTGATCTCGCTCAGGATTTTCCTTTTCACTATGCGCCAAACATGTATTTAGCAGAAATCAACAGGAATAGACCAGGATTAAAGAGTATAGGGTGTCAGTTTCAAGGATTTATAGGACAGGGTTTAACTCGGGCTGAGAGTACGAATTGAAGGTTTATTTCAAACTTTAGTGGTGCTTGCAATCCTCATGGCAACTAAATTTGCCATCAAAACATTCGCAATTGACATCCCTCCCAGCGAACGCCAGTTGATTATCATTATCGATAAAATAATACATATATGCAGCTAGCTACTATAGATGTCGGCTATTAGCTAACATGGCAATAAGCTACAACCAACGGTTGGATGTATAATTACCCGACGCAGATAAGCTACTAACTAACTACTCTGACGCAGATGCGCAAGGGTCGCGCCGTCTACCGCCTTCGGTCCTCTGCCTAAGGGGCTCCACACAATGGACCTTTGCACTTCGCAGTGGTATTTGGCACCAAAATCATGGCCCTACACCTGACGCCCAAGTGCTACGCCTCGGTCTTCGACGTTCACACTTGGTCCCTGACCTTCAGCCCTCAAACA